TAAAGTGAGCGCTGAGTTAGCAATGCCAGAAGGAAACAGCTTTCTGACGGCAGCCTTGCTTCTGGTGAAAAATAAACCAGAGGTGAACTGACTTAAAATACTTCTGAAAATGGAGTTCTCTCTTGTCATTTTTTTCTGTGACCTCTTTCTACAATTTTTTGGTGCAATAAAGTAGACAGAATGCCCATTGTATTAACTGGATACTGGCACTAGTATTTCAGCAAACACCTACACAGTATATATGGACTAAATTATCTAAAGGGCTTGTTAGCATATCATCTGCATGCAAAAGAAAGTGATGATGGTGATGGAGGCTTCTTAGAAATTGCAGGAAGGACTCTGGCTCCTGTGTGTTGTGCTTCTGCATGTGAAAGCTGCTGCTTTTCCCTTCAACCCTATTTTTTTTTTCCTTGTATCGTTCCCTAGATATTGTGCAAATTCATGGAGTGATATATATATATATATATATATATATATATATATATATATAAAATCATAATATTGCCCCATGGAATTGCTAGAAAAGTAGAACTGTATTGTATGGCAATATGTAAGATGGGATGTGAAAGCCTGTTACTGCTTTACCACTTTTCCAGAGCTGCAGAGCCTGTCCCAAGGGTTTGGAGGGGACTCATTTGATTCATCAGATGTTGCACATGCTCCTTTTGTGTAGGTGCCGGGTGGTCATCGCAGCTGCACTTTTCACTCTTCCATGGGTCAGAAACGTTTCCCTCTTCAAGAGCAGTGTAATGACAGAACAAGCGGTCTCCCCTGGCTCTCCGTGTTCAAATGAGTCAACCCATAAATCAATAGCACTATGGCTAATGAGTCGACTGTGAAGGTTTGGCAGGGGAGGAAGGCATCTTGCAAATGCTGAGAACAGTGTCAGCCAGGGTCAGGGGTCTGAGGAAACTGAGTCAGCGCTACCATGTAACTTTTTTGCTGTTTTCTGGTTTCATATTTCAACTGGGAAAAAAACCCTTGAGTGCAAAACTCCAATACTTTTGGAAAAGATTGTCTGGGTGAGAAGAAACTGTACAATGGCAATTCCTTCCTAAAGGGAAATATCATCCAAGCGACCTGCTTCAGGCTTGTTCACTGTGAGCATGGTAGTTTTATGTGCTCATCTCCAAGCAAGGAAGGGCCCAACTATGGGATATGGGCACCTCTGCCTCCAAACCTTCATAGCTTGTGATGGAGTAACAAGCAGTGAGATCTAAAGGGTAGTATGTGAGAAAGGAGGGCATTTAAACAAAAGACTTGGAAGTAAAACCGCTCAACATATGCTCCTTCTGTCTTTTGACATTAGTCTGGTCCCATGCAGAAGATTTCCTGAAGATATGCACAGTGATAGAGGCAGAGCTTATTTTAGAAGCAGCACGGTAGAAATTAGAGTGAAGATTTGTATTTGACTGCAGTTTGACATGTGTCAAAATAAGATAATATCTCCTAACTAAGAAACATTTTATAACAAAAAGAAATGAACCATTGGGAATTACGGTAAATGTATGGGAAGCTATGAAATTTATTTGGAACAGTATATCCTCTGGGGTTGCAAAAAAGTTCTGGTTTCAGCAAGAGAAATCTATATTTACGTGAAGAACAACATGATTTAATGGTTACCATCCCTTTACAAGGGAGCTTTCTTTAATAAAATAGCTGCCAGTAAAAATGCAGATGATGATTTGGTCTGCCTCACTGAGAATTTACATTACTTGAATTAAAATAAGTGTATCCTACTTTGTGCAGAAACTGAATAACTACTTGTGCCATGTCCTTATCAGCTGTGGAGAAGACTGAGTAAGCTGGAGGTAGATTCAGTGTTTTCCTGTCCAGCCCCACGTGTCCATCTCTTGGCCAGGAGACTGAGGCAGGGTGCCTTTTCTTAAATTGTGGATGTGAAGAGAGCCTCCAAAGCCAGTCCTCTTCTCACAGCGACCAGTGGAAGATGTGCTTTGGAAAAGGATGAGGTTGTTGTTACATTTTGCTTTCCTTTTTCTTTTCATGTTTTTTTTTTCCACAAAAAAGGTCCATGTTTTTTGAGCAGGTTTTTTTGTTGTCATTTCTTTGTTGTTGCTTTGGAAAATTTAAGATACCTTTTCCCCTAATCTGTCCTAGGAAAATTTAGTAAGATGTCCAGCCAATGCTTTTGTGAGGTTCATAGAGCACATGAAATAATGGTAGAGCAAAACCATCCACCAGTAAAAACACTTGATCTACAGAACAAGTTGTGCCTGAGAAAAGTTGAGTAATGCTTGATTTGATTTTGTTTTGTTTTGCTTTGGTTTCTTGGCTTCCAAATCAGTGTTGAAAAATACCTGCCAACTGTAATTATTTTACTGGAAGCTTATTTCAAGGTCTAATTTTACTGGAAGCCTGAAGGAGGGGAGGACACCAGAGCTGGAGAATGGCATCTGATGTTGAATGATGGCAATGTCAGACATACTTAAGATAAACGAACTTGTTGTTAAACAAAAATAAACACACAATGCTGCTTTTGGTCCAATGTGGTGAACGGACTCCATAGAAGTACTTGTAGCAAGCTGGCTGTTTTGCTTCTGGTCCAAAAGCCTTTGCTGGTGGTTTTGGTTGTCTTTCAGCAGAACCTCTTGGCACGTGTGTAACTTTGAGCCCTGAAGCTGGTTGTGGTTCAAGTGTGTGTGTGTTAAGTGCTTTGGCTGAAAAGAAAATCAGTACTACCCTGCTAAGGAGAGTGAAAGTATTAAGTTGCTTTAAATACTGACTTTCCTTAGTGGGATTCAGGATTGCTCTTTTCAGTTGTTAAAATATCACCGTCTTGCTGGTATTTCTTCATCAGGGAACCTTCTGAAGCAGTCTGAGCATTTCCAGATGGGTCTGCTAGCACCTTCATTGTCCAGGTTTCCTCTTAAGGAAGAGAGAAAGAAAGGTGGGGGGGATGCAAATTTTTTGGAGTGAATCAACCCGAATTGCAGGCTGTGTGGGAAAGTACTTAATTTCTTCCACAACCTTGACTTCCATGGCTGGAGCATCACAGATGTGCAGGCACAAAGTGGTAGCTGCTTGTGAGACAGGTGAGTTACACCTGATGGCTTTGTGTCAAGCGGAAAAACCCAGTGATTATCTTCACGCCCGAGAGGAATGATTTGAGAGGAAACATCTCTTGTTCTTAAAATTTGAATTTTCTTGATAGGATTCTAGTCATCCTTCTGCAGTTCTCCTCCCTGTGTTCAGGGTGAGCTGTATTCATGTTGTGGGTCGTTTCATTGAGTGAAAGGTCAACCCCCCTTTTTAGACCCCCAAATCTTTAGGTTAACTTTCATCAACAGTTTGTGTAGCGTGTGCGCCTTCTGGTTGTGTTACCCATCACAAAAGCACGTGAGGAGTTCTAACTGCAGTACTGATACTTGCAAAATATTTCTGAAATTAGATGATAAAGGATTGATGTTTCAGATGTGCTTTGTGTGAAGTGTTTACAGAGCAGAAGGGTTGTGGCAGGAGCAGTTAACTTTCTGTTTTAATAGTTTAGGCAAATATGTTTGGGAACAACACAGTGGGAAACTATTTTCTTGTTGTTCTCAGGGGAAAAAAAAAGAGCAATTCAGTGTGCACTGGGCAGGACAGTGACGGTGCTGGGCATAGCTCAGTTTTCTAGCTTGCTGTGAGAATAAAGAGGGATGAAGAAGTTACATGGGGAAGGGGACTCTCTCCTCCCGTGCTCGCTTTTTCTTCTGGAGGAAAAAAACCCCAAGCCCATAGTTTTTCTCAATTGATCTATTGAGAATAAACTTGAAAGGTACTTATAAACCACAAGGTTTATCTGATTTGTCTGGTTAGGCAAATCGGCAGAATCTGTTTGGGGGAAGAGCCAAGGAGGGTATCGCTGCCTTTCTTTTAAACTTCAGGTAGAATCTTAAAATTAGAGGTTGCTGCAAGTCCCCTCCAGCATGTTTCATATAATTTGATATTTACGCACTGAAAGCCTGTCTAGACTCTTACTGGTTGTGTTTATTACATACAGCGTCAACCACTGCGTGTCTCTCCTTGTCAGTTTGTATACAGGAGATTCATCCGGATTTGTCTGCATCTCCCTTTTCCCCGTAAAACTACCCCCAAAAGGCTTACCCGCTTTTCCCCATAAAACTGCTTGTGCCAGGAGCATCCCAAGCACCCGTCTCATCTGTGAGCACGGTACGTTTTGCCGATGCTACGGACTTGCTGCATAGACCTCAATTGACTGGATCTGCTTTTATAGAACCATCTTTCAAGCTGAGGGTGATTCATTGCGTTGAGGGGCTGAAGGCTGATCTATTTTAATCTGGAACCTGCTGCAATTATGTTTAGTTGTCTGTTTGCCCGTATGTAAAATGGGAATTGTGGTGCCCTCCATCTTCTGAGTGGTACCCTCCATCTTCTGAAAACCAGTCCTGATGCCTAAAATGAGCAGCATTTTATAAGGACTGGATGATAGTAGTCATAGTGTTTATCGTTAAGCCATTTCTGAGTTTTCTGACGGGTTCAACAGAAGTAAAATTAATTTTAGTAGGAATTGCAAACTGTCTTCTCTTTGACCTTGTGCTAGTATTTGTTTACCTTCTATTTTATGCTTTAATGATAGGCTTTTTGGAGGAGACTGCCCTTGCTCTGTGTTTACACAGTGTCCAGCACAGTGTGATTCTTTCCCATGCTACTCCTACGTACTACAGATATTTAAGTAATAAAGAAATTGCATGCAGCGCTCTCTCCTACACAAACTGATTTAAACTGTTCAACTCCTCCTTTCACCTGTCTTATCTGAAACCCTGTGAATTGTGCCTAGAATTGTTTTGAGCTTGTCAGAGCTCTCTGTTGCCTGTTTGGTAACAAGCAGCACTGTTTACTTACGTACTGGTAAATCCTTTCTATTAAACAGGAGCAAAAGCTGTTTTCTGTGTTCTGAGGGCTTCAAGAAAACTTGAGTAATAAACAATTTCCCTTTTTTCTAAATGCTGAAATAATTACTTCTTGTCTTAATCTTGCAGAGGCATCCTTCACCGTACATGTGTTTAAGAAAGAAGCGAATCCAAAATCTGTAGACAAGGGATTAGGAAGTCAAATCCCAGTTTGGAAGGTAGATATATTTATTCTCTGTGTTCACACTTGTTTACAATAGATGCGGTATTTGGGTTTTTGTCTATCCGTTGCTGCTTCTGGAAGTACTTTGCATATTTAATTAACAGTCTCACATTTGAATTATTCCCCAACAAATTCTTGCTTTCCATTATCGGTCTCTTTTTTTGCTGCTGTCATCTGAAACTCTTTCTTTCAAGTACAAGAATTAAGCAAACACTGGAGATCGTGTTTCTGCAGGCATTTGTGAATGCAGTCTTCACAGCACTAAAAGGCTGAATAACTGCAGAGTTCTCAATTGCTTTCTTAATAATTGTATGAATGTTGGTCCTTATGAGGCTGAGTACTATGAAATGTAGTGTGTTGTCCTGCACATCTGCATAGAAGCTTGTGAAGGAGCTTGTTTAATTTCAGATATCACTGACCTGCCTGGCAGTGCTTTTCAGATTGCTGTCTGTAGTATTGAAATGAAATCTCTTATTGCCAGTGCATTTGAATTATACAACATGCTGGTTTTCATGAATGGCTGGAAGTTAAAGGCTGATAGTGAGAAAAAAAAAAATTGTTTTTTAAGGGCAGTGTCTTCCTTCCTTTACTTATAAACAAAACACATGCACACAAAAGGGAAAGATTTTATTTGCTTTTGGGGATTGGAAGCCTACCAAAGCAGTGATAATTGGCTTTATTGACTTTTCCCCCTCTGATTGGAAACAACACTTCTTATTTTCCTCTGATTGTGTTTCTTGTTTATATGAGGGGCAGGATGCACAGAGCATAAATCCATGAACCCAGCTAGCCTGGTATTAGGATTTCCTAGTGCAGACTGAAAAATGTGTTGTCATGACCTGGACGAACATCTCTGTACATCTTCATCTGGAATCACTTACAGCTCATGAAGCTGAACTAATTGGTTTAAAAAAAAAAAAAATATATATATATAAGGGGATGAGGAAGTGGTAAGAGATCTAACAGGAGGGCTCCACACCTCTCTCTAGGGTTGAAAGTCCTCATAGACTTGAAATAGGTCTTGGCCAAAACTGCTTTGTGTGCCTAGAGTAAAAGGGAGAGCCAGGATGCCCTTGTGGGTCCTGCCAAGGGTGCACAGACCTTCCTCCCTTCCAGATCATCTTTTTTAACAGGAGTACCCTGCAATAAAATGGTTGTGTAGTTTTTAAGTTAGTAAAATTTAAAACATAGAGTTAAGATTGATGGGTGTTGTGTTTTAACCCTGGTCAGCAATTAAGCCCCATGCAGCTGCTCGCTCGCTCCCCCTCAGTGGGATGGGGAAGAGAATCAGAAGAGTAAAAGTGAGAAAACACAGGTTGAGATAAAGACAGTTTAACAGGTAAAGCAGAAGCCATGCACGCAAGCAAATCAAAACAAGGAATTCATTCCCCACTTCCCGGGGGCAGGCAGGTTCAGCCATCTCCAGGAGCTCCGTCACACATAATGGTGAATTGGGAAGCAAATGCCATCACTCTGAACGTCCCCCTCCTTCCTCCCCCAGCTCTATACGCTGAGCATGACACTATATGGTCTGGGATGTCCCTGGGGTCAGCTGGGGTCAGCTGTCCCGGCTGTGCCCCCCCCCAGCTCCTGGTGCACCCCCAGCCACTCACTGGTGGGCTGAGAGGCAGAAGGGCCTTGGCACTATGTAAGCACTGTTCAACAATGACTAAAACATCCCTCTCTTATCAACACTGTTTCCAGCACAAATCCAAAACATAGCCCCATAGTAGCTACTATGAAGAAATTTAACTCTGTCCCAGCTAAAACCAGCACAATGTGGAGTTTTCTCCTCACTAGGATTTTAATTGCTGAATTATAATAGCATCCATTTTTAAACATGCTTTTGCAGCCTGCAGTCATTTTTCTTCACCGTATTCCATGCTTGTAGACTACGTATAGATTCAGTATTGATGTTAATGGTATGAGTGGTGCCCTAAATATCTTCATACACTGTCTGTGTATGTCAAAAATGTTTAACCTTCATTTCAGAGGTCTGATATTTCTTTAGCAAGAAAATAATTGAGCAGTATGAGAACACGCTCTCTCTGAATACTGAAGGATGCCTTGTAAAAGAAACTCAAGTGTGTGTTAAACAACTGCAGTCAGATACATTTTTTAATTTAATAGGAGAGCTCATTTGAATGTTGTCCCGAGGGAGTGCCACTTCAGTGAGCATGTTGGTTGACTCGTAAGAATTAAACCATTTCTATTGGAAAGGAAGCCCTATAGGATGTCATGTTGAGCAGGGATGTTCAAAAGTGTGTGTGAGTATTCGAATTTTTTAGTTATGGATCTGCTGTTACGGTAAAGCTTTGAATGAGGCAGAAAAATATGATAATCCTTGATCAGGTGAATAAAAGTACAGTAATGGGTGGTTATGTAATCTAGGCCATACTTTTTCTTTTTTATTTTAGAAGTTTGAGAAAATTTAAGGAGATTCTGTGTATTTCTTACTGTTTTCTTTGCCAAATAAACATTTAAGAAGCTGTTAAATAGATTAATATGCTGTATTGCTATCCTGTTCTCTGAATTTTATAACCTCTGATACTTCCAGGCATACATTTTCAATTGAATCTGAAGCTTGTGCTTCTCAGAGTGTTTGGGATACGGGAAGTGTTGAACACAAAATGTTTTTTGGTTTTCTTTTTTTTTTTTAAGTTAGAAAGTTAGTTGTATTTTCCTCCCTCTCCTTTTGTTCACCAAACCCCGTTACTGCTGGCAGTGAACACTTCTTGCTTGTGCCTAGAATCCAAATGCTGCTGTCGCAGTTCCTGAATGGGCTCATACCCCAGCTTTTGAGGTAGCTTCAGGAATTTGAGAAGACGTTTAATTTGCAATTTCAATTTATCACTGTTTGCACAGAGCTTTTATTCTCTGGCCTGCCTTCCTGTTACATGTTTACTTTTCACAACTTGAGCACCTCTGGCTCTGCAGATGAAGTTATGGCTGTTTTTTAAAGAGGGGGAAGTTGTTTTTGTTTTGGCTTTTTTTTCGGAAATACAAATGATTTTAAAAAGTGGATAATGTGCTGAAAAATTCTTGTATGCCTCATATGCAATATATAGGGCAGACTAGTTACCTATGCAGAATCACATCTTACTATATCAGCTATGAAATCATTGTTACTCCAGTGAAAAGGTGTTTTCTTATTGCATTAAAAGGTTGTGCCCCTTACATGTTAGCAGAGATAACCGATTTGGTGATTATATTCATGGTAGTTGTTGACTATATGATCTCATACTTTTTGGCTCATGAGAGATTATTGATAAAGCACAATGAATAAGCGATGTTATCAGGATGCCTGGTAGGTAGAATTTTTTAAGATGCTATGTGAAAATGAATTTTACTTAGTCTGCTAAAATTTACTTTTATTATGGCTTCCTGTTTACATTGCAATAGCATTTACACCTTTAACTGATGCTCCCCAGCTCCTTGCTCACCTTCAAGAATACTTGGGATTTTACAAGCCAAACAGGACATGATACTTTTCCCCCAGAGAATTTCTACTACAATTTTTTTTTCTTGGCAGAAACCCAGCTTTTTCTTAAAAAATATATCTGCACTTATACAATGAAAAATGCTACAACTTTTTCTTGATCTTTCTGTCCAATTACTAATTATATAATTTGTATAAAAATATCAGACATAAAATGTAGCATATTGCCATTTTAAAGGATAAACCTAGTGTACTATTTTTTTTTTTAAATGCCATTTAAAAAAAAAAGTCATAAGCAGAGGGATCTACCATGTATACAATTCTGTAAGAACATCATTCCTAGGATAGCCAAATCCCTAAAGCTTTAAGCTTCTCTTTGATCTGGGGGATTAGTGAAGATTTCCATTTTTGCATGGCAAATTTTTGGGCTGTTAAGGATGCACAGAGGAGCCATGTTTTCATGGGAGAGGTGTCATGTAGGAGTAATATTGCTCCCAATCCTGCTCGGCGTGTGCGGTCCTCCACCCTGGTTTGCTCGAGCCGTTTCAGATGGGTTTGAACATTCATCTCGAGCTCAGAGGACAGCTCTTTCTCTGTTCAGTGGCTCAGGAAGATAAAACCCCATCTATTTGATGACCCAGGCTGTCACCTGCAAACCAGGCTCAGTGTTGAAGCAACTTTATTAATGCTGAGGATTTACGGGGCGGCTGTTCGTGGGGGCCAGGGCTGGTCAGACACGTTTGGGTGGCATTGCACAGGGTTGGATCGGAGGCTCTCTGATGCAGACAGGGTTTTTCTTCACCTTTGCTGAAACATTTGAAGTATTTTTAGCTATTATAATACAGTTCTCTGCAAGGGGAATCCTTAAGTCCTGGTGGAATTACTCTTTTGCCTGTGTTGTGTTAGAAGAGGGTGATTCTCACAGGGTATACAGACTCTTACAGAAAAAGTCCATCGTGTAATAACCCACGCTATGATTGGTCTCGTCACATACCTGTGAGGATGCTTCTAGGAGAACAATTTAATCGTAATGAAAGCTACAGTAAGAGAGGCTGTGGAGACACCAAGAAGGAGATTTTCAGGTGTAAGGAGGAGAATCAAATATAAAATGATAAGACATTAGTGGTATTTAGAAGAAGATAAATGTTTAGTAAGCCAAAAACATCTGTATGTAAGAGGAGTGATTTGTATCAGAAGTTTACACAAATCAAATTGATATTTACAGTATAAATACTGTAACATGCTTGTAGCATCTCTTCTGGTGACGATCATGAGCAATGCAAGATTCGTGCTGAACAGTCAGGGTTTGGCAGTCCAGTGGGCTGTGGCTTTGGAGAAGCTTCCTCTCTGGCCAGAGCCATTTTGAATGTAAAACCAAATGATAAAATAGCATCAGGCAAAGGAAATGCTCAAATAAAGAATTGGAACGGTCTCAGAGGATTATCAAAAACATCATTTGCTATTTTCACGTATCCTTCAAGAGCTTCAGAAGCGGCGTGGATGTGGTCAGCTGGCGCAGAGCTGTGATCCCAGCCTGACCTCTCTTCTCCTCGCAT